TCTGTATACATATATATGCATCTAGTCTATATCTTTAGTCTATATCTCTATATCTACGTCTATATCACCTATATCTATATATCATCTCTATCTCTATCTCTATATCTATACATCTAGTCTGTGTGTGTGTATATATATACATATATATATTGACGTACAGTGGAATTGCCTTTTTCATTTTCCTACTAACAAGTGAAAATCAAAGTGCAATGTAAACCTTGTGACATCCTGGGGACTGCAAAACCAAGCAGGGGCCAGTGCTGATCATGCCTTTCTGTCCTCTCACACAGCTGCCAATTCCCAGGCTGATGCTCAAAGGAGACGAGGCCTCTATCTCCACTGCCTCACCCTGCACTCCTCTGCTGAGGTTTCTGTGCTGGCATATCTTTCAGGCCATCACAAAAGCTCATTTGCTGTGGGGAATTGCAAAGAGGGTTTCACACTGTGAGGAAAATCAGGTCTTAACTGATTGGTTAGGATTCAAAATCAAGGAAGAGAGTGAAAAGAAGGGGCTTAAATTTTTTTTAAAAATACAGTTTCTTTTCACCCCTCCCCACCTTAATCCATCTAAATATAATCTGAGTTTTAATGAACAGAAAAGAATCAACTTTAACTGAGATCATAATATTATACCTTTAACTTGTATAAACTAATTCTATAATAACCCACAATGATGTCACTTCTGCCCACTGCAGTGCTCTTTCCAGCCCTACCCGCTTGAGACGTACACAAAAGCACTGGACAGGGCAAGGTATTTCTCCCAGCGTGAGATTGACAGACTGGTAGGTCTGTTCACAGCAAAGATCTGAACAGCGCATCGTTTTGACAGGTGGAGGGGCAACACTGTATGTTCATTTCAGGCCTGACAGCACTAAAAGCAGAGGCTCTGGGGCCTGGGTTTGAATTCTAAGCCAATTACTGTTGGGGTGACCTTGGGGAAAACACACTTAGCTTCTCAGCTTTCTGTATTTGAATCGGGGATAGGCAGTTTATGGATTAAAGGAATTAATAAACACAAACCACTTCAAACAGAGGGTTGCATACAATCAACATCAGAAATATAAGCATGATTAATTTCTGACACCTGGACTCATTCTGGTGACTGCACTCTGGATCCTACGTTCACTTGGCACTCCCCTTATTTATTCCATTTCAATCCAGCTTATAATTTCAATCTAGATGCAAAAGAGCAGCTAAAGTTTTCTTTTCTTCTATAACTTTTTTTTCCCCCCAAAGAGATCTTTTGTTTAAACAGCTAAGAAACTTCTGGGTGAGGTTACTGCCCTGCGCCCCAGTGGCTGTGGCTGGATATTCTCTTTTTGATCCATCCTGTTGACCAATTTCTTCATGTGATTATATTGGCTTTAGTCAGTCAAAGGAAAAGAGGTGTGTCCTTTGGAAAGAATGGGGGGAAAAGTCTGTTTCTTGAGACTTGTCCCAAAAACAAAGCAGGGGAATAAAAGAGTTGTCGCAAATTAATTCCAACTCATGGCAGTGCCATGTCTCTGGAGTAGAACTGTGCTCCATGAGGGTTTTCAACGGCTGGTTTTTCCCGAAACAGATCACCAGGCCTTTTTGCTGAGGCACCTGCATGGACTTGAACCTCCAACCTTATGTCAGCAGCCAAGTCAATGAATGGTGCCGTGATGGCACGGTTTTTCACTTGACTGCATAGGAAAATGCTTTATGGATAATATAATGTTGAAGATTAGTTTGTTCCAAAGTAATGAGAAAAAGGAAATTTCCATGCAGAGGTCAGGAGTTTGATAACTACTGTAGCTGGCAAAAGAATGGGTACACAAGGCTTGTTTATGTTATTCTGTCTCTCTTTGACATTTTTCCACAATAAAAACGTAACCACTCAATGGAATGTCAACCACGAATGTATAGAGATAAGACCTGGTAAAGAAGGTTGAATAGCTGTCCGCACACACCCTACCAGCTGTCTCTTCTTATATAAGCTGACCCCACAAACCAACCAACATGTGGTCTTCAAGACAAAAGTTAACTTTGTTACCAACACGGTCTGTTCGATGTTTTTAAAAGCTGATGCTCTATTTTAAATTAAGATTTGTACATCTTTGAACAGAAAGTGAATCACAGAGATTAAACTGATACATGAAAATGACTTCCGCTGCCTCCCATTTCCTTTTCCATACATCAAAGCTCTTTACTCAGACATTCCTGAGAACAATAGCAGAATTACCTACCTATCCACTTGAAACCACTTCAAGTAAACATATGGTTCAAGTAAAAACAAGGTGTTTGTTATACAAAATACCAAATGACTTCCCACGGCCAAACACATTCAATCACATTTATGCTAAGCTTCCATACATAAGAACTAGGGCGTTTTTCCACGCTGTACAAGGTTGGCAGAAGCAAGGCTGTTCACTTTGCAAGTTTTTCCATTAGTAAGAAACTCTTCTCAAGGACTAAGTCATGAGACCAAATTAGAAATAAGTCTGAGGAGAATAAAGCCTGAACCTTTTCTCTCCATGACACGGGGCCAGGAAGGCCCAAGGTTCCGTGACCTACCTTGATGGTCTTCACCAGGTTGGCAGTGCTGTTGGCGACCTCCTTGGCTGACTGGACAAAGTGCCTCTTGGCCACGGGGTTGGCTGTCTTGGATGAAGCGATGCGACAAGCGTTGCACAAGGCCGAGGTGTGCTTGGCGACAATCGTGGCAGCTGACAGGACCTGTAAAGCATGAAGTTGAGTTGGGAGCAACTGTGTTGTAGTGCAGAGGGGTCCAGATCACCCTGATCTCTAGTCTTTTTATTTATTATTATTATTATTAAATTTTATTAATTTTAATGAACATTTACAGGGATTTTGGGTTTTCATTCCTTCATTGCTGCACCATTCTCTCTACCCTCCTCCCCAGTTTGTTCTTCTTCCCCCGCCATCTCTAGTCTTGAATCATTCTTCAACCTCCATGTTTGAAGCCAGTGTAATTACCGTATGTGCTTCTAGCTCTGCTGTCCCCTAAAACCCTCCAGGAAAGGAGAGGAAATATTGAGTGATAATTTGAAAGGAGGAGGACTGATGTAGCCCATAGTCTTCAAGGGAATGCGCTGAGCCATCCTTTGGAGCTCCTGCAAGGTCTTGTCTGGCCCAACGGAAACAGAATGCAAGCCTTACAGTGAAGTTTGCAGTTTCTAGTTCTCATGTTAAAGTAAGTAAAGAAACAAGTTAAATTAAGAAAGAAAACCTATTTTATCTAACTCCACAAATCCAAAATATGGTTTCACCATGTAATCAATATTAAGAATGACTGAGATATCATACAAGTTTTCTTTTTCATTTTTGAAGACCAAGTCTTCAAAATCCCAGGCATTCTTATAGTATATTTCAAATTGGACTGGCTGAAGGTGCAGCCAGAGTGCTCCCTGGGAGCAAAGATGATGAAGCTTCATCTCACATACTTTGGGCATGTTGCTAGGAAAGGTTATTCCTTGGTGAGAGACATTAAGCTTGGGGAATTGAAGGGACGGTAAAGGAGATGACCCTCCAGCAGGTGAGCTGACACAGTGACTGCAGCAACGGGCTTGAGTGGGCCAGAGACTGTGAGGAAGGCATGGGATAGGACAGGGTTCAGGTCTGTTGTTCACAGGCTCGCTGTGAGTTGTACTTCACTTGAAGGCCCCTAACAACACCACCACCACCATTTACGAAGCTTAATAACTGTAACTAGTGGCCACCCATACCTGAGAAGGCAGATCTAGGAGATGTAGCTGCGGTGGGTGAAATCCACAGGAAGCTACCAGTTCTGCATAATCTACAGATGGGTTGTTTGTGCCTTATTCAAAAAGCCTAGTTCAGGAATCCCAATGGGCTCCACCCTCACGCATATCCTCATGTGCTCTCCTAACTGTACCTGTTCTGCTTTGCTGAAGTTGTGACACCCAGCACTGTGTGGCCTTAATCGAGCAGGCAGTGCATGCCAGGTGCACTGACGTGTGACAGCAGCTCTCGGACAGGTCAGAGGTCTCTGTACTGTCTCCTCTGCCAGAGTTTTTCTCCTGATTCCAGAGCCCTGGGATTCACTGTGGATAACACTCTGCCTCTGTTCTTCCCATAGCAGAAAGCTCTCCCCTCTTTTACACACATGACTCAGCCAGTGAGCAGAAGCTCACACCACTCAGGTACTAGAAGTGTTATGGGACATCACACACACACTGCCTACCCCTACAATGTCTCTCTGGATTCTTTCTGTGATGGGGATTCTTATTCAACTCTAAGGCCTGTGTGATGATGTCATTTCTTTGAGGCACTCCTGACATCCCCCTAAGACAATTCATCACTCCTCCCTTCACAAATCCCTGACTTCGTGTTCATATCTAGATCACTGCATTTTCCAGACTTTGTTCATGTCCACTTCTCCACTGGACTAAGATCCGATGGGGTGGGAGCTCAGAGCTGACTCATGTCAGTCACTAGGACTGAACATGGGACAGATCTGGACTGAATGGAGTTATGAGACTCCCGGTGGATCTCATCGTAGTTACTTCACTCCTATGCCTTTCAGGACCTTGTATCACAGCCTGAATAAATTCTCAGTTGGCCATATTTTACAGCATACCCCATTATTCATGGTGCTGTATTTAGTTGGCTCTCTGGAAATGGTGAATAAACAATGCTCTTTTCTAATTTCTCACCCTCCCCACCACTCTTGTAGAAGAATTTCAGGACTCACAAGTTGTTCATCCTCCCTGAGTGGTTACCTGTGACGGGCTGCTGCCAGGGTCCACCAGGTTCTGGCATGCCATCTGGATTGCTTGGTTTGCCCTGGCAAACTGGATGGGGTCCACAAGGCCCTGATGGCCTGCTTGGCTGTTGGGATCAGAGATGCCTACCAAGTATGCAGCCTGGAAAAAAGAGAGGGAGAAAGAGAAAATGAAAGCTCAGGCTCTGGACTCACAGCTGAGCCGTGGTGGACAATGGCCCTGTGTGGAGCGGCAGGCGGCAAGCATGCTGAGCTCCAATTAGGGCAAGCTGGTCAGTGCATCTGCATTCCTCTTCTTAAGAGACAAGTGAAGGAATGGGCAGTCTTGCCATCAGTTTGACCAGCTCAGATCAAAGACAGCAAGAGTGGAGCAACAATTTTGAAAAATACTACAAAACTTGGGAGAGAATGGAGAGCACTATGCTGAGTGAACAAATTCAGTCTCATAAGGCCAAATACTGCATAAGAACATTATTATAAACACAGAAGGATAACTAGTAAAACATGTATGGGAACCCAAGGGGGAAAGGATGGGAGTGGTAGGTTAAGGATGGGTAGAGGTGAAATCACAGGGAGGGAGGAGGGTAAAGAAATGGGAAGGATCCCTGTGAAAAGACAGCATAAATGATGGGCAAGGTCCAAAGGTGATTCATTTTATAAAGCATAATGCACGAGAATGATTGTATGAAACACACTGTGAATGAGGAATAGTGTGAAATACAATGTACACAAACTTTGTAAGCAAAACAATGAAAAAAATAAAGGAGCGAGAGAGTTTGCAGCAGGATTCTATGAACAACGTCTACTTAAGAGGCATTCCTGTAGGACATAAGCAATGATGGAGGCAGCCCTGGATGTTCTTGTGTTCTTAGGAACATGTGGGTACCCAGTCCAGACATGAAGATGCCCCTGGCTTGCAGGAGGACAATCAGGAAGAAGCAGATGCAAATGCAAGGTGTGGAGCTGCTGGTTAGCTAACCCTGGAGCCAGCCTTCTCACTTAGCCAAACTCACCTCCCCCAAGTCAATTCTGACTCAGAGTGACTCATAGAACTGCAACCTAGCATGAGGTTACTGTGTTGGGTAGTGTTTGTAGTAGCAAGAGGAAACTTAACTTGGCAATTGAGTAACAAAGGTGCCAACTAATTCTAACCAGGATTTATACAGCTGGAGCGGCACCAAAACAAAATAGTATTTGGTCCCTAAGAGGAAGCCATTAGGGCGGGAGAGGTCTTTGAAAATCTCCTCGGGTATATTAGCTGTATTAAGTGAATCTGTAAGTAGGAATTCTGCCTTTAACTCATCTCCTGTGAAGTTTGAAGGGAAGGTAGAGAGCGAAGCATTTCCTCCCCCACAAGTGGTCTCTGTTTGGTGAAGCAAAGGTTAAGTTCAAGAGAACTACCAGGTGATAAATCTGTCAAGGTAAATTCTGCCATTATTGAAGCCTCAGACGTAGATGCCCAGTAATTATTGGGAAAGCACCAGACAGTTAAAATGAGAAAGGTTCACGCCACATCAGCCTCTGTGGCACGGGCGTCTGGTCTTTTCTACCTATGATCCTAAAATTAGTATGACTAAAATTTTTACAATTCTGACACTTTAGGAAAGAAAAAAAAATAAAGCATGTATTATCTCCTTTTTCCCCCCTGGAAAAATTAACCAGTCACCAAAATATTTTAAAAAAAGAAAAAGAAAAGCTGGTCTCCAGTAACTGAAACTCTGCTGGTAGTACTCACTGGATCTCACCATCTAAATCCCTCTCCCTTCTGTGTCCTCCTCAGCCTGGCGATCCTGCTGCTCAGCCATCAAGGCACAAAATGAGGAGAGCATCTTTGATGGGCGCTGCTCCAGGGGCGGCTTTGGGGTTGGGTCGTTCAGGCTGAGGGTTTGCCTCAACACCCTGGCCAGCAGTGGGGCCACTGCCTTTAACATGGCTCCTCCTATGGTGGAAGGGGCCTGATCACTCGTGTTATCCACCATCCAGAATCAGACACAAAGTTGGACAACCTGCCCGTCAGGGCACCATGACTCAGCCACTTACCTGAGCTGCGGCCTCTGTCAGTCCACAGAGAGCCTTGGACGCAATCCCCACACACTCTCCAAAGGCAGGGAGATCCCCTGTCTTGGCGTTCTGCGAAATCCCAGCCATTGACTCCCCAAGAACCTGCACGTGAAATAAGCAGAGGTCTTCTCTGTGAGGTACTGCCTGAATCCAGGGGGCCAAGGAGGCCCCAGCTACAATTCCAAGGTCGCCTAAGTCATGACAGCTACCACTGTACACCTGCTATTTGCATGCAGAGGTTTAGGAGAGGTTTAGTTTTCATGAAGAAAAATGAACAATGAAAGTATGAACCTTTTACCTGGAAATTATTTATCATCCCAGGAAATACAGTTAATAATACACAGATCAAGAAAGTAAAATCCATGCTATGTGTGAATGGTCCATACTGAAAATTACCATAGACATTTCCTGGGTTACGAACATGGACTTAGCAACAACTCATACTCGCCCTTTAATGTTATGTAAATGTTAAGTCCTCACTTCGAAATAACGGAAGCAATTCCTACTCACAACAATTTTTTCATCATAATCTCTTCTACTTTACTGCACATGTAGCTTTTAAATCACTCACTGAATAAGCTTTGAGCCTTTTCTTGCACTAAAACCAAATCTGAACCCATTGTCATTGAGTCACTTCTGACCCACTGTGATCCTTCTGGGCAAAACCGTTCTAGAAGGTTCCCAAGGCTGTAAATCTTAATAGATGCAGATTGTCTCATCAGAGAGCCTAGTGGGTTGGAATCACCAATCTTGAGGTGAGCAGTAAGGTGTTTTAACTACTTATCCCTAGGGCTTCTTTCATGCACTAACCCAAACCAAACCATGCCACTGCCATGACGGTGACCCTCCACTGGGTGTGTGAGGCTGTAAATAGGTAACAGGAGGAGACAGCCACCTTTTTCCCCCAAAGAGAGGCTGGTGGATTCAAATGGGTCCAACACACAATGTACTTTGCCACCAAGGTGCCTTTTTTGCACTCAAGCAAGGCTAAGTAAGAAACATGCACCTCTTCTGATTCCCTACACACTTGACTTATAAGATACACTTAGGAACAGTTCTCCTTCATAACCCAGAGATTGCTTATACTTTCCAGGACTTAAAAAACAAACATGCCCATTGAGCTGTTGTTGTCATTGCTATTGTTGTTAGGTGCCAAAAAGATCTGAACCCTGTCCTGTCCTGTGCCATCCTCACACTTCCTGACACACAAGAACCCACTGTGGCAATCACCGTGTCAACCCACCTGGTTGAGGGTCTTCCTCTCCTTCATTAACCCTACACTCTTCCCAGCGTCATATTCTTCTCCAAGTATGTAAGGTGAAATCTCATCATTCTTGCCTCCAAAGAGCACTCTGGCTGCTCCCTCTCCAAGACATATTGTCATTGTTAGGTGCCATCAAGTTGACTTTGACACACAGCGATGCTATCAACAATGGATCTGCACACTGCCCCAATCTGTACATAGGTGGACTCTTATCCACATGGCAGAAGACATAGCCTTCTCAATATTATTAATTTACTTATTGACAGTAAAATTTAAATATATCTTCGATAAGAAGTATGTAATTACATCTATACAAATCTATCTATATCTCCTGATCACCTCAACACAAACGAAGGATGCTTCTTAAATGTTCTAGTTATTTTCTGTCTTTTGGAAAATCAGTGTATTCTTCATTCAGAAGTACTTATAATCATAGCTGAAAAGAATCCTAGTATTTTAGACTCTAACTCTGTATAGTAAATCCTATAAATGCCCCAAAGTGGCCACATTTTGCTAAGCTGGCTCAGTCTTAGTAGACTTGTTGCCTTTATTGTTGTTACACATCATCAAGTCACCCATGACTCATAGCAACTCTATAGACAATAGCTCTGAACTTTGTCCTATCCTGAGCCAGTTTCATTGCCTCTGACAAACCTACCCCTATTACTCCAGTTACTGTGTCAATCCATCTCATCTGGGTCTTCCTCTCCTGCACTGTCCCTTGACCTTTCTAAGAATGATGTCCTCCTCCAAGGACTGGTCCCTCCTGGCCATGTGCCTAAAGTATATCAGAAGGAGCTTCAAAATCCTTGCCTCCAAGGAGAAACATGGTTTCACTCTCATACTTTGGAGTGGTCTCTGACAGGAGACTTCCCCAATGCCATTTGTCTTTTGATTTCCTGGCTGCAGGTGCCAACAGTGCTGATTGTAGAGCTGAACAAGCTGAAACTATTAACAGCCTCAATCTCTTCTCCTCTATCATGTTGCTGTCAATTGTGCCAGTTTTGAGAATCTTTGTCTTTTTGATGTTGAGCTTCAGATCATATTGATCACTCCAGGTCCTCTCCAGTTTCCACAAGCAAGGTTGTTTCATCTGCATAACGCAGGTGCTTGGTGAGTCTTCCTCCAATCCTGATTCTACATTTCTCCTCATAAAGTCCAGTGTTCTGAATGCCCTATTCTGCATACAGACTGAAAAGTTATGGAGATAGGACACATTCCTGAAACTCTTTTCCTGATTTATTGTTAAAGAGAACACTCTTTTCTGTTCTAACAACTGCTTCCTGGTCCAAGTATAGGGTTTGCATGAGCACAATCAAGTGTTCTGGGATTCCCATTCTTCTCAAGTTAGCCATAATTTGTTTGTGATCCACACAGTCAAATGCCTTTGCATTGTCAATGAAACACAGATAGACATTCCTCTGGTACTCTCTGCTTTTTGCCAAGATCCATCTGACATTGGTGATAATGTTCACTTATTAGACTTGTGTTTTCATTAGACTTGCTTTTCTGATTTCTTCCCAGAATGAGGATAAATGGACTATTTCCCTTATCAAGCAGGTGGCGAGCTTTTCTCCCTTTAAACTAAGTTTGTGTATTGCTAACATTTTCCCAGTAGTCTGTCTTGGATTTTCTATGTACTAAGGGTTATTATATATGTATGAATACAAAATAGCTAGCTGTTGCCCCCCCCCCATTCTTTAGTGGTAATTTTCTGACCTTCCACTGGAGCTGTGCATTGCCATATCTTGCCCCAGTCAGTAAGTTTCCCGTCCCCATAAACCGATGTCTTCTAGTTTGTATCCAGGTCAGTTTTGGGGTTGGTCTGTGAACATAAACTTTGGGGAACTTTGCCTTTGGGGAACACATTTCAATAGACCCAAAGAAGCCAAAGTCACACTAAAAGTCACATGGCAGGAGCAGGGCATCCACTCCAAAGATGGTGCTCTTTCTTGAAAGAGCCACGTCATGAACCAGGAGGGAAGGTCCTATTTTCCTGAGTTATAGATGCTAAGGCTGAAGGGCAGACAACACAAACTCTTTGGGAAGAGCATGGCATTGTCAAGTTTAGAACCTAAGATGGAGTGAGCTCTATTCTTTCCTCATAACTCATGTTGAGCTGGGCAAAGAAATAAACTCCCTAAAGCAAAGTGCTACTTAATTGCACTGACACACAAAATAATCCACCTTATATAAGGAACTGCAAACTAAAAAAGAAAACCAAAAACCCTCGAGAGAATATTTATGTATAGCATTTCTTCCTCTGAGGAGAAGAAACCGTTTTGACTGGACTTAAGGATGTAGAACATCTATACCACCTCCTTCAAATCACTGACAATTCTCTTAGGAGTACTAGGCAGGACAATTTCTAGTCTTAATCCAAGACAGATCAAGTCTTCTTGACATCACCAATACAGATATATTCCCAAAGCTAATATAAAAGCAATACAAACAGACATGTCATAAGCACAAAGCCTGGGCAAAATCCATTCATCTCACTTGCATTTCATTTAGTCTTCCGATTTGAGGTATTCTCAAAAGACTTTGATATGATTACCATAGATTAGTGTTTTTCAAGCATTTTTGTTTCTATTATTGCTCCCCTAAGGAGTCTTTCAGACTCTTCCACGCTCTAATTGCCATCCTAGCCACCCGAATCAAATGAAATCCTAATGAATAAAATTCTGTTGAGTAGGTTTAAGGTTTGGAGGGCACTAAACCCCTGTAATGAGCATGTATGCCGTGGGGAGATGGCCAGAACAACACACATGACAGTCTTACAGACAAAGGCGCATGGGGCTGTAAGTCACGGTAACAGTCAAGCTGATTCAGAGGAAGCGCACCAATATATGAGATAGTCAGCAGTTCTCAGAGTGGCTGCTGGCAAGACTTCAAACAGTTCATTCCAGTTCAAACTCTCACTAATAATTTGTATTTCAACTCTAGAAATGGGAGCTCTGGTGGCTTAGTTGTAAGGAATTGCGCTGCCAATACAAAGCTATGTGATTTGAATCCATCAGCTGCTCCTCAGGAGTAAGATGGGCAGTCTCCTCCTATGTGATTTACTGCCTCTGAAAATTCACTGGAGGGTCAGCTATGGGTTCATTCTGACTGGGTAGTACTCAACAATCACCCCAGATGTAATGAGTCAAAGCTGATATTTTAACAAGGTTTATAACAATCCCCTGAGGGATCTTGTAAAACACAATCTGTGTCGAAACAGCCCTCGAGTGATTCTGAGGCAGGCTCACACTTGAGGAGCACTTGAACAAAGCCCCTGCTTGGTAACCCTGCAAGCCACACAGGGTGGGCACAAACCACTGCATACAAAGCTCATCTCGAATTTGACCAGTAACATCAACTACTGAATCACAGCCTGGATGGTCTTACCTTGGAGTTTTCCATCACACTCTCAATGCAGTCAAAGTAAGAGAGGTCACTGACAGGCTCGTTAGGATTATCCAACATCCCCTTCACAGTCTGCAGAATGAGAACACAACTTAAAAAGCAAGCAAGGTTTTGAGAAGTCCAGAGATGCTAGATTTCTCAATTAAAAACAAAACACCCCTAAATGTCAAAGAAAAATTCAATGTAAAATATCAACTGCTTAGACCCCCCTGACCCCCATACAGATACAAGGATTCTGGTCCTGATGGCTCATTCACTCAGACTCCTGAAAGGAATTTAGATCTCACATACTTTGGGGTTTGTTTTTATTATTTTTTGTGTGTGTACTGTCAAATCAGATCTGACTGGTACAGGAGGAGACTGTCCCTCCTTCCCCAGCAAAGCATCCAGATCTCACATACTTTGGACATATAACAGGGGGACCAGTCCCTGGAGAAGGACACAATGCTTGGAAAAGCAGAGGGTCAGTGAGAAAAGGAGGACCTTCAATGAGATGGTCACAATAGCTCCAACCATGAGTTCAACAAGGATAGCAATCATTATGAAGACATGAAGACAGTGTAGGGCTGTATAGCATTTAGTTGTACAAAGTGTTGCTGTAAGTCAAGATCAACTTGATGGAACACAACAAACATGGTATGTAAACAAAGACGAGGGATATATACTTAGGTATTATTGGCATGACAAGAGTCCAGAATAAGAGCTGCATAGGCATAGTAAAGTGGTCTGGGGGTGGGGGAAAGGACTGTATAACAATGGAAGAACTTTTTTCCCAAAATAAAAAGCAATCTGGGGAGGCAGAGAGGAAAATGTGCAACAATGAATGATTGGAAACTCAAGTTCTTTATAAACTTTCATTAAAATCTCTACTAAAGAAAGAAAGAAAGAAAAAAAAAAAGAAAAGAAAGAGGAGGGGTTTTTTCCTTGAAGAATTTTGAATATAAAGGCTAGGCATCATCTTTCAATGGTCATTTAATGTAATCCAATGCAATGGTCAGCACAGTATCTCTGCTGGCATCTCCAAAGACTGTCAAGTTCAAGGATCTGTTCATTCATTTCTTCATGCTTATACATTGGTCAGAGCCATTAGTCTTTCAATTCTGGAACATTAATTGCGGCCTTGAAAAACTTCATCAAGGCCCCCCACTAGGATAGTTTGTCTCTCTGCATTGAACAGATTTTTTTGGAGTAATTTTAGATTTTTGTTGTTGTTTTTGAAGTTGTATTTATTAACAAGGTAGATAACATGTCTATCTAACATCATTTCAGCTACTGCAGCTGAAGGCAAACAACCGACTGTGTGGATAAAGTAATTGCTTTATGTGTATACACTTCAGCTCTATTAGAAAGTACTGCATTGAAGTCTATGGGGGAGAGAATAGTCTAAAAGTATTATATTTTAGGGCATTATTTTTATCGT